TCGTAAATGCGTCGTTCTATAGAGATTGGGCTTCCCGCCAAACCTTCCGGGTCGGAGATATCCTCGGTACGCAATTCTTACACAACAAACGAATTTCGATACACCGATTCACACATTTCGTTCATGTTTTCTCGGCTTTGGTACTAGCTAATGTCATGTGGACCTAACTAATGCAATGTCATAACCTAAACTATTATACTATAATGCTAAGAAAATTGTGACATCTTATTATGTACAGTGTAATTATGCATTTTTTGTTCAAAGATTACGATTGACTAACACCTTTCTGCGCAGAAAATATGAGTTCCTTATTTATTTATTTATTTATTTATGTCGAATAATTCATTTTGGACAGTTTTCAACTTCACGACCAACTTTCACGACGTGGCCCGAGTGTCCCGAGACGCGTACAATCGCTGCTCGGTAAATGCCATCATCGGTAGCCCTATCACGACTGGCCCCGCTAACATCACCCTCAGTTCCACTGGCAACCAATACTACATCTGCACCTTTGGAACCCACTGCGCGCAAGGAGGACAGCGGCTCAGCATCAATGTCGTCAGCAACTCCGCCAGCCGAGGCGCCAGCCCGCCAGCCGCCAGTCCGCCGGCGGCCGCCCCTCCCCCCGCCGCCACCCCACCGGCGGCCGCGCCCCCGACCACGACGCCAGGAGACAGTCCTTCTGCCCTTCCCGCCGCCCCATCGGCGCAGCCGCCGGCGACCCCCGGTCAGCTGGGTTCCGGCGCCGGTTCGTTGGCCAGAAGTTTCTTGTTTGTTTTGGCGTCTGTCGGAGTGTATCTGGTTGTCTAATATTAATGAACGACGGTGTTGTATTAGCAGTAGTTGATCTCTGAGCAGTATTTAGTGGGCACAACACATTTCTTTTCTTATTTCTTTTACTTTTTATTAGTATTGGTTACTTGGTGGTCATCAATAATTTTAGCTTCTTTTTGCGTTGGGGGAAAAGTGAGTGATGATATGTTTGTTTGGACTTGGTTTGTTCAAAAATTTGGTTTCGTGTGTGGAAAATATTTTAGTTTGCCGATTGTAAAAACAATGCATTGATTTTATAGCCAAGCAACGAATGCAAAAGTAAAACATAAATTTTTTTGAAAATATGAATAATAATCATTTTGTTTTGTTCAATAACACAATAATTACCTTTTGATAAGTCATAATGGAGCGAGCCTAAGATAATATTATTAAGCTCGGTCGGACGACCTACAAGCCTAGACAGAACAACAAGACAAGGGGAAGAATGACCTGAAGAGCTAGAGCCCAAAAGACGACCTGGATAATTAAAAATCTCGACCTGAGGAACCTCACGCAACCTGAGTAGCGCGACGGCCTAATAGAGAATGGACAACTCGACTGGGGTATTGTCTTCTTGACATGACGATTTGAAATGATATGTTCATAACGACTCAATGACTGGCCTGAATAAATAGACTCGCACTGAATAAGAGGGAATCAATGTGAATAAGAAGAAACCTAATGATGACTAAGACGTGATTAAGATGACCATAAGCACTGAGCAGATAAGATAAAATTTGGGCAGTCGGGCAAACTGCAGACCGCTGACAGTCGATAAATTCGAGCGGACCATTTCGAGCAGATATTCCCCTATAAAAGGGCTAAGGTACAATTGCAAACTCTCTACACACTTTTACAATCATCTACTTTCAGAGCTTATCATCTCCACTTCCCCATGTTGACTTGAGCGTCGGAGTGCTAATGTTGGGAAACCCTCTCGGCCCTTTTACAGGTCATCTTCAACGGTTCAGGTAGATCGGAGCTCACAATTGTTTCAACCTAGACCCGAATTGCCGGCACATCATTTGGCGTCGTTTGTGGGGAGGACCTAATTCAAATTTTAGTTTGAACAGTTGTGATGCGGATTAAAACAACTCACTGATCCCAGCTTTGAACAACTCGCAAGCTGGGTTGGGCGATGACTGTTATATGCGTGCTCTGAAAGTCAAAGCCCACATGAAATATATGAAGGCCTTGGCCCAAAATGTGATTTGACCCATCAAGTATGCCATGTTTTCTGTTTGTCCCCCTGTGACAGATCTCACTGCCGATCCCTCACTACCAATCTGTCGGCAGACCTACATGTTGATCTCTTTGTAGAATGTGAGCTTTCTCTGACAAACTGAATCGATAATGCCGCCGAAATTGGTAAAGCCACCACCCAAATGTTCATGTGCCCTCAATTGGTCTTGTCATGAAGAATCAGAATGCACATTGTATCCTCAAAAGTCGAAATTCAGCATGTCATCACATATAAATGAAGCATGTAGCACATCATAAACAAAATCAACACAACAACACGAGATAACACCACAAACAACAAGCTCAAACACAACTCATAAGAGCTATCATTTTTATGAAGAATTCACTCTCCTTGCGATCTCCCAACATATGGGCAAAATTGTGTGTACTCATTATTTTAGCATTTTTTTTGCCCATTATAGATATATTTTCACCCAGCCCGCATATAAAACAGATTTAAAACACTCTTAATTCCCTAACTAAGAACCGTTGGCGATCGCTCGTCAATAAATTGGAGCTAGAAGAAGGGCTCAATCGATAGTTCCAGTCTTCCACAAAAATCATTCTGGCAATCCTCACCCTCATACCACTCACCGATTCTGATCAAAATCATATTTCACACTCTCACGAAGTCCAATATCTCGTGAATGACCGAAGCCCCTCGACAAGGGTAAAGAAAAACAACACCCTAACCGTCCTAAAGTTCGTGAAAGTAGGGAAATAAGCGAATCCCAAATGAGCTCAAATGCTCGGTCGATGTTTACTCGATTGGGTAACAAACCCGAAGATTTCCATCAGTATATTACCAAAAAAAAATCCTCTGAAAAGAAGCTGATGAGGTTGCCCCACTCAAAATGCGAATCGCCGAACTCGAAGCACGACAAACATTAGAAGCGACCAATCAATTTGCTTCTATTCCTCTTTCATCCCATGAAGGCGCCTCCTCTAATCCTATTTCACCACTCTCTTCTCATATACTAACCGAGTTTCTCCCTGTCAAGATCAAGGTTCCTCACGTAGGTCTATACCATGGCAAAACCGATCATGATTCCCACTTGGGATCATAGATGGATCTCTATGGCGCCAGCGATTACCTTTGATGTTGAACTTTCACTTTAACCTTGGGGCCTAAATCACAACGATGGTATCATTCGTTACCTTCAAGGTCAATCCGCAACTGAGAACAACTGCGATTTGTGTTCCGCATGCATTTCGTGGGATCACAGATGTGTATGGTCCCCAAGAAGCAAAACATATACATCGTTCAACAAGCCAACAAAAGTTTCAGGGACTCTATCGCCCGATTCAGTACTCTGGTCCAAAATATAGAACCTTGTCACCCTAAAACTCTCATAGTCTCCGTTTATGACGGACTTCAACCAAATTCCTTATTCTGGTGGTCGCTTTGTAAAAATAAGCGTACAACATACCAAGAGTTATTTCACGAACCCAACAACACATAATAGTAGAAGAATCCGTGAGTTTGCCTGCCTTTGGAAACTCTCCCTGAGTTCTCTCAAAACCTAAAGATGCTTCTTCCTACGATCGGAAGATTCCAAAGAGTCTCGATTTTCTCGCCTTAAAACCCTCCGAAGAAAGCCAAACGAAACCATAGTCTTGTATCAGAACATATATTCTATAGGGGTCGCAATGATTTTTGAAGAAATAATGGGAAAAATCCTTCCCGATCCCCGTCCAATCATGCGTGATGAAGCCACCTCGGACAAATCCAAGTATTGCTCCTATCACAAATCACATGAAACACTACAGATCAGTGTTGAAGCCTCATAAATGCTCCCTTAAAAGCAATTGGACATCCTCAACTAGATCGTTTTGCTCGAACTCGAGACGATCACAAGCAAAGGCGAGATGACGACCCTTTGCCTAATGACGATTCATCGATGGTCTCCAAACATCCTCGCAATCCTCCAAATGAGATTTTTGTGTTTCACAAAAATACCCCTCTACCACTGCTCACACGAGAAGATGATGTCGGCACTTCTCGATCGGCGTCGAGATCTTTATGGGTCCCAACGGGGCATACCGGTGATCGATCCTGCTAAGTCAACAAATTCTAAGATCACTCATATTATCAACAAACAAGTCCGAAATTTAAAGATCCCACCAACAACAAAAAGCTTTTGTTCGAAAACCTTATAGTGCTGATTAGAGAAGTTTGTCGATCGCGCCTAGATCAGGCGAAGGTAGTCGTCTCTCCATCTCTTTCTCTGAACAAGATGTGAGGCAAGCTTGCCATTGTCTCTCCATCTCTTTCTCTGAACAAGATCTGAGGCAAGCTTGCCATCCTTATTCAGATGTTTTATCCGTTACTTCCACTATTTTCATTGTTCTCGCCTACCACATAATGGTAGACACCGGGGCTTATGCATTTTACATCTTTCTCGAGACTCTTTGTCAAAATGGGTGTCGATCTTGACAAAATAGCCCCCGCAATGACGTGGTTAGATTATTTGGCGGCGACATCATCCTTCCTATTGGCAAATACATTTTGCCGATATCTTTCGATAATCAGGGATTGTCTTCCCAAACCATCTGAAAACTTTCTAGATTGTGGAGCAAATCACCGAGTACAACGTCATCGTTGCCAGACCCACTCTCTACAACTCCAAAGTTGCTACGTCTATATATCATTATTCTCTAAAATTTCCCACTATTGATGGGGAAGGGTATCCACTACGGCGATCAACGTGCCGCCCGTGAATGTGTCTTGGCAATTCCCTCCAAGGAAGCATTCACCATCCAAAGAGAATATACCTCATCGACGCCGTTCGGTCTATCCTCCAAGGCTCCAACGACGAGTTAGACCTCACTCAAGATTGGGGACGCCGCACAAGTATATCACTCAATTCTCCCCGCAATCAACTTTATTAATACTTAACACACTTTCACTAATAAATCCAATTCATACTATTTTTACTTATATTAAATCGGAAATCTTACAAACTGCCAAAATCATATCAACGCAAAAGAGGTAAATTGTACATAGAGAGCAAGTATGGGGGAGTCCTCGTGGCACCGCCTGACAGTCCAGGGACTAAAATGCAAATAGACTCCTCCAAACAAAAAAATCTAACAAGCAATACTCGTACCCTCATGTGCGGGGTTGGGTTCCACACCGACCTTTACCCCATCCGCGCCGCCGCCGGCCTCGTCCTCATCGCCGCCGTGGATCTGGTCGAGCACAAGGACTAGCCCCATAGCGAAGGCACCGTCGAAGCCGGGCTTGACGGCGAGCAGGAATACGTCCTTTCCGAGGACCACGTTGGTGGTGGCGTCGACCTTCCGGCGGATCTCGGCCACCTCCTCCTTGTCGGCGTTGAGGATGGTGCAGCTCCGGCAGGCGAAAGACCCCTCGATCTGGTACTCGCTGCCGGGATTGTAGACCTCCACCGTCATGCCCGACCGCCCGATGATCGACGACCGCCGCACGCTGAAGAGCGGCTTCTTCCCCTCCGCGCCCTCGCCGGCGTATCCTTCCCACCTCTGGTGAAGGCTCGGCCTCTGAGTCGGGATTGCGAAAATCGGTGAGTTACGATTGTAAATAGAATTTATCATTTCAAGGACTCGCTGAGTTGACTCATGTGATATTTCAACTGACATTGAGTACAGTAAATAAAAATAGTTTTTCATGAGAAAAAATTGAAATCGAAATCGAAACCGAATTAAATGGAATTCCTTAGCCAATCGATTACTACCTTGCGGCGGACAGTAAGGATGCATCTGCCGGAGGCGTCCATGAGAACGAGCTCGCCCGAGTCGCCTGCGTCGGGGCCGTACGAGTCGACTCGGAAGACGAGTTCGCCTCTCGAGTCGTAGGCGGTGAAGCCATCGCCGGCGAAGAAGAGCGAGGTCTTGAGGACGGTGAGGTGAGTTTCCTCCTCGTACACATACGCGTCCTCCACGATCGCCATGATCAGGCGAGCTCAAATCTGAACAATGACAGATTATAATTTCTCGAGAATGAGGGGAAATTTTAGGTTTTGTTTTCCATTGTCGATTTGAGAGAAATGTGCGAGTTCATATATAGTGCGTGAGAAAGCTCAGGTATGATTTTTTTTTTAGTTTATAATTGTAACGTATGATAATTGTAACGTATGATAATTGTAACGTGAGAAAGTTCAGTCAATTGCACGTATATAGTGCGTGAGAAAGTTCAGTCAATTGCACGTATGATAATTGTAACGCCAGTAAAAATGAGCACATGTGGTGCTCACTATTTCTCCTCGCTTTGAAAAGATAAAATTTATTTATTTCATTTTAATTTATTTTACCTATTATTATATTGAAAAAGTAAAAACAATTGATTATGCAACTTGATGATTTTAAGCAAAAGATAATCGCTAAATATATATAGCTATATTAATAAAAAAATCATTATTCGCAAAAAATGAAATTATTTAAGACGAAAAGTTGATAACCAATGGAGCAATTATAATTTTTTTTTTTTTTTCCAATTGTGTGGCAAAATGTTAAATTTTTAGTGTATTGAGATTTTGTGGCAAACTTTTTTACATTTTTTTGTGTATTAATGATTTTGAGGCAATATATTTACTCAACGGAAAAAATTCAGTGAATTGTGCATCCACAATGTTTTGGGTTCAGTCACAAAAAATTATATGTCACATAAGAAATACACCTAGTTTAAATGAAAAAATTCAGTGAACTGTGCATCCACAATGTTTTGGGTTCAGTCACAAAAAATTATATGTCACATAAGAAATACACCTAGTTTAATAAAAATTGTACGCCACACACTCTATTGAAAGTCTCACGCATATTTGTACCAACAAAAAAAAAAGTCTCACGCATATACATATTGCTCAATTCTCGGCTCTGTTCAAGATCGTCGGACCTCGAAAGTCTGAAGTGTTACAGCTTCTGAGACATTGTTGATGTATCTTTAAGGACGACATCCGTCAGCACACTTCGAGCCATATTCGTCTTGTGGAAAGAGCAACTTTCGACTCGGTTGATTTTCTTACCACATCAACTTTTTGTGTATTGTTCCATTCTGTTTTTAGTACAAGTTGTAACAACTGAAACGACTATTCAATTCAATTAGGTTTCCCATGTAATCTAAACACTCAATTTGTATCATACGAATACATATTTCTATTAAAAATATATGACGAGTTCATAAGCTAGATTGACTCACCAAAAAAAAAAATGTCTAACACTCACCTTAAATGATTTTTAGGAGTTTTTCAATCTAAAAAGAAAAGTGGTAGTAAAGAGCCAGCTTGAAATCATATTAAAAAAAAAAAAAAAAAAANNNAAAAAAAAAAAAAAAATAATTAAGATTACTGTTTTTATAATCACCTATCAAAAAATATATCTGGTGTAGTAAAGCGTGAAAGAATATATTTTAATTCATCAATTATTCAATCGCATTGCTTACACTTGAAGTAACTGTTTTCGTGTGGAAAGAAGAAGATAAATTAAAATTTAGGGAAATTCTAGTGCTGTTACGGTACCATCCCGTCGGGTGTTTTAACCGTTGGATCATCTATCTTATTTAATTACAAGTAAATCCAACAGTTAAAGAGATGGTACCGTAACAGGACCATAGCATTTCTCTAAAATTTATACGACAGAAATTCGCATTCTATACAGGCTTTATAAAGCATAAGAGAAGACATTATCTATAAAGTTTCACACTGGAACATGATGGCAGTATATTTGTCCAAAAGCATAATATCTCTTTCAGTTAATATAATATTGTGCCTTTACGTAAAGCCACAATCAATAAGGCAATAAGATTGGAACAGATTATGGAATCAAATGAAAACTTTCGAAAAGATTGCTCCTTTTTATACCCCAATGATATAATTTTACTAACAGAATTATTTTGAAATAACACTATAAGATGAATGGGAGCTGAAACATGATATATGACGTTGAGTGCGCTAAACTGTGTTAAAATGTGTTGTAACACCAGAATAAGTAGACTTGCGGAAGCACAAACAAGGGATAAAAACTCTTTGTGGAGTGTCTCACTACCCTTCAGAAATTTTTCATTAATAGATCGATTGTGCACACTCGTACACTTGGAATTTATGCAAATAGAACTCTCTTCTAGCCTAACCAACACTATACTCGATCCTATCGACTACTTCTCTGGCCACAACTCGTGGCCTATATACACTTGAAGCTCTCGAGCAAACCAGCACTTAATCTCTAAGTACAAAAACAAACTATTTGAATTAAAAATATGAAAAACCAAAGAAAAGAAACTCAGTTCATCGATGGCGTAAGAAAACCAATGAACTGAATATGAAAAGAAAATATAAGAACAAAAATCCTTGAACTTTCAATTGATTGCTCGAATAATGATGAACTCTAAAACTCTCACCAGTCTTCAATGGATCTTCAGACGGGTATATGTAGCTTCTCCAAGTAACTACTCCTTTTCCTTCAAGGATGATTTCCTTCCAAGCATTGCTATTGAAACACAGTGAGTGAATATTGGTTCTTGATCGTGTAAGAAACGGGAGGAGAGGAATGAGTGCGGTATCACGCAGATAAAACGCACTATAAGCAGGGAAAACTCATATGAAGTCCAAGTAGTTTCATCCCAAAACCAATTGGTAGTAGGAGTAGCCCATTAGACTTATAAATTAGTCATATTTTCCCTATATAAACGATATGAGACAACTCACAAGTGAATATTCTAATACGACCCCTCACTTATGAGTCCTTCTTAAGAAAGCTCAAGCCCAAATACGGAGTCTGGTGCCCAAGCCCTACTAGAAACGGGCTGGGTAAATGGGTACGTCATCGCACGGTCCCACATAGACCGGCTCTGATACCATGTCAGAACGGGGGAAAAACGGGTACGATCCCATGCAGATGAAGCGCACCAAGATAGGAAAAGCCCATATGAAGCCCAATTGAGATTTCATCCTTAAAACAAATTGTTGGTCTGAGGAGTAGCTCATTAGACTTATTAATTAAGCACATTTTCCCTATATAAACGATGTGGGACAACCCACAAGTGAATATTATAATACGCCCCTCACTTGTGAGTCCTTCTTAGCCCAAGCCCAAATACGGAGCCGGAAGTCCAAGCCCTACTAGAAACGGGTTGGGTAAATGGGTACGTCATCGCACTGTCACACATAGAATCGGCTCTGATACCATGTAAGAAACAGAGGGAAAAACGAGTGTGGTCCCATACAGATGAAGCGCACTATACGTAGGAAAAGCCCAGATGAAGCTCAAGTGAGGTTCCATCCCAAAACCAATTGGTGGTAGAAAAGCAGCCCATTAGAATTATAA